GTGCTCCTTGCTCAGCGGGGAGCCTGCTTCTCCCTCTCCCAGTCCCCCTGCTTGTGTTCCCTCTCTCTCTGTCAAATAAATAAATAAAATGTTTAAAAAAAAAAAAAAAAGAGTTGGGCGCTCAACTGACTGAGCCACCCAGGTTTCCCTAATTGCAAACATTTTTAAACTAGGGAGATTTCATGTAAAAATCCAGATTTCTGCACTCTTAAAAAGTTGGAGGCTGTGGCAGCACGGGACTCACCTTCCAGCGTGACAGTCATAGAGGCTGCATATGCCCTCACTCTGGCCACCTTCACTAGGTGTCCTTGGCCCCCCTGGCATTTGATTCATTACCCAGGCTATACCACAAACAGGCACACACACCCCACCCCCAGGCTAGAATTAAGTGTAGGTGTTCCTGGGGTGGAAAACAATTAAGAGTCAAGTCCAGTCATTCTGGGGTGATTAGTGGATTGGTTCAGCTCATTTTGGTTGCCTCTCAGCGCAGGAGTGAGACAACTGAAATAACACTGATGGAAGTAGGTCCAGAGACCAGCCAAAAGAAAGAAACACAGTGCTTCAGAGGGCGTGTGCAATGCAACACAGAGCCCTCAGTGCCCAGAGGAAAGATGGAAGGTCCGGGAGTGGGGAGGCAAACTGGTCATTTCACGATTCTGGACGGTTTCCAACAGGATAGTGAGTGTTCTCTATAGCAGAGAGGTCAAACCCTTAACACTTTCTTTGCAGGGGTTTTTCCAATGCCTTGGCGGACATGATTAATCAATCACAGTCCACTGTGACCCCAGATGCAACTTCAAAATCATTTTCTCCGTTCAGGACTCTAGGTTGTCACTACCAATTGATTAGAGTTGGCCATCTCCTCTCTAAAATGTCTTTCCTTCTGATATCCTGGAGGATACACTTGGTATTCAGTCATTCGTTCACAAATATTTCTTAAATTCCTACTATGCAATAAGTCCTATGCTAGGTGCTGAGGATACAGCACTGACGAGGCATGCTTCTTGTTAATCTACATAAATAATTGTTTAATTTACAACCGTGAAAATAAGGGCTAGCATTTAGAGAATGCCAAACAAGTTCTAAGTGACATAAATGACCTACTTCATTTAACCCTCTCAATGGCTTTATATGCTAAGTTTTATTATAGTCCTATCCAGGGAGGTAAAGTATTTTGCCCAAGGTTACATAGCTAGTAAGTATCAAAGGCAGAACTAGAAACCAGTCTGGCTCCAGAACCTAGGCATTTGACCCGTCACAACTCCACTCCCCACCATACCTACTGTGATTAGTTAAAGGGCAAGGTGATGAGCATACAGAACAGTGAGCCAGCCTTGGCTTGGGTGATGGGGTAAGTGTCCCTGTGAAGGTGACACTGAAACTGAAACCAAAAGCAGAATGAGGTAACATGGTATATGCTGGGAGAGAAGATCTCTAGGAGAAGGAACGGGGGTGAGGGGGGGAGGCTCTGAGAGGCAGAAGGGAGCTTGATAACATTTTTAAAAAAAGATAACTAGGAAACAGTGGTCAGCAAGTGGAAAGAAATGAAGTTGAGAAAGAGACATAGCCAGAGCCTGCAGGGCCCTAAATGCCCCAGTAAGAATTTTGGTACTGACCATAGATAGTAAAGAGTAGATCCTCAAAGTCAGGGGCATTAACCTTCTTTGTATCCTTCAGAGAACATAGCCCAGGACATAGGGGGTGGTTTCTGTGTTGACTGATTGATGATCGATGGATTCGTTGACAGCAGGACACCAAGGCAAGAGACATGGTTCAAGATGAAAAATAAATCTTTACCACTTCACATCCACTAGAATGGCTAAAAACTCAATGGTGACACCAAAAACATGGTAAGGGGCCCTGGCTGGCTCAGTTGGAAGAGCATGCGACTCTTGGTCTTGGGGTCATAAGTTGAGCCCCATGTTGGGTGTAGAGATTACTAAAAAAACATTATCTAAAAACACAAAACATTAACTAAAAAAACATTAAAAAAAAAAGGAGTATCACAGAGCTACTGAAGGATGTTGGAAGACTTGGTCAAACTTTCAAAATAAGCAAGCAAATGAAAAAACAAATTCTTAACTTACAGGAAAACACAAAGCTATATATAAGAAAGGATATAGGGGCGCCCAGGTGGCTCAGTTGGTTAAGCATCTGACTCTTGATTTCAGCTCACATCATGATCTCATGGGCGATGAGATCGAGCCCCAGGTTGGGCTCTGTGCTCAGCGGGAAATCCGCTTGAAGAGTCTCTCCCTCTGCCCCTCCCCCCCACTCACACATGCTTGTGCCCTCTCTGTCTCTCTAAAATAAATAAATCTTAAAAAAAAAAAAAAGGATATGGAATTAGAGTACAGTTGACCCTTGAACAACATGGGGGTTAGGGACACCGACCACCCCAACTTGCACAGTTGAAAATCCATGTATAACTTTTGACTTCCCCAAAACTTAACTACTAAGTCTACTGTTGACCAGAAGCCTTACCGATAGCATAAATGGTCGATTAACACATATTTTGTATGTTATATGTGTTACATACTATATTCCAACAATAAAGTAAGCTAGAGAAAAGAAAATGTTAAGAAAATCATAGGATTGGGATGCCTGGGTGGCTCAGTCAGTTAAGCATCTGCCTTCAGCTCAGGTCATGATCCCAGGGTCCCGGGATCGAGCTCCCGCATCGGGCTCCCTGCTCAGCGGGGAGTCTGTTTCTCCCTCTGCCTGCTGCTCCCCCTGCTTGTGTTCTCTCTCTCTCTGACAAATAAATAAATAAATATTTTAAAAATGAAAGAAAGAAAATAAGGAAGAGAAAATAAGTTTACAGTACTGCACTGTATTTATTGAAAAAAATCCACGTACAAGGGGACCCATGCAGTTCAAACCCAAGTTGTTCACAATGGAAAAATCATCAAATTAAACTGACTTTAAGAATGGCAGCTTGGGGGCGCCTGGGTGGCTCAGTTGGTTAAGCGACTGCCTTCAGCTCAGGTCATGATCCTGGAGTCCCTGGATCGAGTCCC